GGAAATTAAATAGAAAGGACTTGTATGCAAAATCCCCAGCTCTAGCAATTGAAAGGGACCTTAGAGAGAGGAAACAGCTTAAGATACATCCTTGCCCTTGGCTGTTTTATCATTATCTCATGTAATGGCTCACACCAGCCCTAATTCTAGCCCTGACATGAGGAACATATGGCTGTGTAAGAAAAGTAATAGTCTGAGGCTGAGATGGGGATGTAGCTGGAGCACACTGTGCTAACGCTGTTTCCCAGGGCCTGGAAAGGGGTTCTGAGAAGCAAAACTATGAGCTGGGGCTAACTAAGCCTGTGCCAGTGTCTAGGAGGAGGCACAGCCTCACCCACAGCCTGAGGAACAACACAAAGGGGGTTTCAGAATCGCTTTTCTCCTCTTTGGTTTTGGTCCTGAGCACCTCATTTGGAATACAAACAATTTCTTATCCAATTGTAACTGCAAAACAAATTGCTTTTATTGACAGATGAAAATTAATTTTGCAGATTTCTAGTGGCGTAAGGAGTTTTCAAGATGGATAATATGGACGCATAAATACATTACTTTTGTGCTTTTTAAAAAGATTTCTAGTTTTCTCCATGTTCCAGTCTGCTGCAGTTGCTGCACTCTTCAGACAAAACTTGGGAGAATGAATCTGTCATAACGTGACGTGGCAGGCCTGTGACATGACAGGCCTATGACATCTGTGTTTGAGCATTATTCTCCAGAAACGAGAGAGTGCATTAAAGAACCTTTGTTCATGGGGTACACCTGTCACTCCCTGACAGTCTCCCTGTTAGTTCATAAAAAGACTATTAGGGATGGTGATGAACCATGCTCATCCATTCACTAGCATAACAGCAATTATTAACTCTAATAAATGTATTATTATGTGGCTATTAGATATCAGTTATAAAACTGCTTAATGTCTGCATGATTACTTGTAAATGGATTTGGAAAGGAGCTAAATTGGTTATTTATTGACCATACTGAACAGCATTATTTATTGACTTGGCTCAGTAAGTCTGGTTTTTCAAGCTAAAATGAGATTCCAAGTTTGTAATGATCTAACCAGGGTGTAAATCGATTCAGGAAAATTACATTTTTCTCAAAAACTTCTAAATTTAATGGTAAATAGGATCGTAGAATGATCTGAGTTTCTCTTTCCTTTTAAGTTCATTAACTAATTACTTTTACATGTGCTCCTGAGACAAAAATCTGAGAAAGTAGAGAATTTAATATTAGTTGCACCGAGATGGCACTTCCAAGCAGCACATGGCCCTGTGAGTCAGCAGCAGACACAGACTGCAGTGCTGTAGCACTTTTGTCTGGGCTCTCTTGCTTGGCAGATTGCTGTACCAATACTTCAAAATTTGCTGCTGCAATACTTTAAAAGACTGAAACAAGTAAATAAGTTTAATTTCATGGGATCTAGTCTTCTCATTGAAGCGGATCCTATTTATCTCCACTATGTAAAAACTAATTTTAGGCTGATTATTTTATAGAAAAGAAAGGCTGAGGGTACAGCCTGCTTATTGAATTCCAACGAAGAAAGGCAGGGCAAGAAAAATACTGAGGCAGAGTCAGCAAGTGCCAGAGTTCAGTGTTTGCTCCTTCAGTAATATTTAATGCATGTTAAACATTTAATCCAATCGACAGACATTGCACGTGGATATGCTCCTAAACTATCAGCAGAAGAAAGAAAGAGGTGTTTTAGCACTGCTGAAATACATTGAATTGCTTTTAAATACAGAAGACTGCTGACTCTCATGGACATAATAGGGACTTGGGAAGCTCTTCCATTTGGGGAATGTTGGGGTTTTGTTCAGTAGTAAAAACAAGTTCTTGTGAAGCAGATCAGTATTATTTGACTTGTATTTCTGGTGAGTACAGAGCTCAGACTTTATAAATCTTGTCTAAAAAGTATCTACAGATTGTGGTAGGAGGGACACAGAGTTGACACCAGTGGAAAGACCCCACTGGCCACAGCTGAGCGTATTAACGACCTCCAAGAGTTCAGGGGTCATGCCAAAGCTAATGAAGGTCAGTATGTTAAAGGCATTGAAGAATTTGAGCATGCTGTTGGATGTGATGTGCTGGCAGGGTGAAGCCACTTCTCCCTCACAACTCTTCCCTGCTTTTTTTTTTGTCTCCTTGCTCCTGCCTTGCAGCAGGAGATGGGGCAAAGGCCGTGCTGTGGTGGGTTCTTGACGCTCACAGCAGACACAGCCAGAACAATCACTGCTTTTGAAACAAAAGCAACCACAAGGACAAAAGGCCAATGTTAGGAGACCAATCCCATGTGATTGGTGTCTTTTTATTTCCCCTGGGCTGCAGACAAGGTTGCAGAAGGTGTACCTGACTTGTTTCTAAAGCCACAGCTCCTGGGGAAGGATTTGGAGGCCTACAGAGATATTGCTGAATCTCTATGAGTATTTGACCTTTTGCTTGCTGAATTTTGTCAGTATTTAGTGAAAGATGGAATAGAGGTCTGCTGTTCCAGTTGTGTCAGGCTAGGAATGGTTCGAGATTTTTCAACTAAATGCTTTTTCTTTTCAATTAAAGACTAAACATTTTACACAACAGAATTAGTTTCAACCACAGAAAAGAAATTCTTATTTTTAACAATGTTTCTGTTGAAATCCACCCCCTACCATCTTGAGTGAAAACCTACTATTATTTGCAATAAAAAACCTGTATTTGTCTCAGTGTTGAAGCAAACCTGGAGGGAAAAAAAGGTGTCAAACCCAAGATTAATGTTTTCAGGTAATTGGAACAGAATGTTTGTCTAAAATTGAACTCTCTCCACATCAGCTTCTTTCTTCAAAGTGCTTTCAGTTGTCCAATTTTAATAACTCTTAAAACTAGAATCTCAAATGCTTAGGTCATGGCTGAAGTTTTGAGCTTTTTCTTATAAACTGGTTCTGATGTTACAAAAATATGATTAATCATGAGTGAGAAATGGATTTATAATTAGGGAACCTTTACTATCTTACAGATGTTTCCAGGCTCAGGGCTGTGTGCAGCTGGCAGGCTGCTGGGTGGCATCTATCCTTTTCCAAGCAGCTTCCTTTCTCCATTTCACAGTAGACAAGAGTTAACTAGCAAATGTCCTGTTAAATTTGCAAGAATGGGAAGAGGGAAGGAGAAACTCTAGACAGAAATAGCATGATACGCCAGTAACAGTCTTACAAATCAAAAAAAGGCAGGTAGTATGACAGTTAGGAATTTAGAAGGAGTGAGAAAAGTGCTTAATGAATCTGTTGGGAATTATACACATTACCAGCACTTTACATTTTGTACAATCAATTATAGGCATTAGAAATTTTCTGAATTCTGTCAATAAGAAGCACTAAGTGATTGCAAAGAATTATGGTTTTGCTTTATGGCTGGAGGTTCCTTTCTTATTTTAGTGCATTGTAGTGCTGTTTTAGCTCCTTTACACTGGCTTCCTTCTGTTTTAAATTGACCAAAATGTAATAAAAAACACGTGGGTGCTTCCTCCAGATGAAAGCAACAGCATCCAACAGTAATGTTGTAAGGCTCTGTCACCAGAATTCAAGGGCTGTGTCATTGTAGCTAGAAATCATAGTGGTCAGATTTCCTGTGAGCTGCTACAGTGGGCTGGTGACAGGAAAATGTAACATATGCTGTATTTCACATGTCCTTATATTTCTAATTCTGCATCAGAGCTTGTTGCCTATTATTTGCTTGTAGTTCACTGTTCAGGCTTGAGGAACATTTTTCTCGATTTATAGCTCTATTAAACTGATAAATCAATCACTTGTGTGAGGGGAGGCAGTTTGCTGACATTTGCTTTGCCAACATGCTGCCACCCACAACAGTATTCACAGCTCCTCAAGGATATGGTAAGGGAGAGGAAGCTTTCCCTGTAACTTAATTTTTAAAGCATAAAACCTGTTTCTGGTGCTCTGAGCAACTTCAATGAGAATATTTTTGAAGAGCTGTCATCTGCCAATCCAATATTAAACTTGATTTATTTTCACATTGCTGTTTAGCAAGATAGCTGCACTATAGTTCAAGAGGTAAAAGGCATCATTTAAAAAAGGACCACATTAGGCTTTTAAAATTGTAATTACCAAAAGGGGAGAAACCAGACCAAATATGTTGAAGAGCTACACAGAGTATTTTTGCCAGTGTTTCAATTGTTCAGCCACCTACTCTGGGATTTGCATGTCTTTCCTTGAGTGTATGCTTACTTCTGAAACTAAAGTGTGAGGGCAATTCTTTTTAGAATTGGTGCATGAGTTGCTTTACTATATGACCATTGGTTTAAGTAGTGGTAGACTTTTTTTTTTTTACTTAAACCACACAGTAGGTAGAGTTCACTGTACTGTGCAGGAGAGTTCCAACTTCTAGTTATGAGTTGCAGAGCAACAGTGCCAGGATCTGAGGAATGCAGAAGGGTGTCTGTGGGAAAGCAAAGTTCTTGTTGGAGCTTGTTTTCTAACAGTGGACAGTACAGATACAGCAAAGGAAAGGTCCGTTCTTCTTATCTTAAACTCAGTAAACACAAATAATTTTGCATAGTTAAGTAGAAAGAATCATATACCCTGTGCTAAGGCTTGTAGTCTTTTGTTTATACAATATAGATAACTTTGGGGTTGAATTTTATTATTCTGAGCTAGTAGTTTTGTCAAAATCAGCTTACTAATACATATTTCCTCTTAGATAGGATGATGAATTTATACAAGCTTTATTGAAGTTATTCTTCTTTTGCATGGGTGTAATTGATGGGAGACCTGGCTGAGTGTCTTGAAAGAGACAATGTAAAAATACAAAATGAAGAAGCATGTACTCCATCAACAAGATTCCTCATATAAATAAGTTTGTGCTAATGTTATGTTTCATCATTTATCATAATGTCAGGATGAATCCTTTCATGCCTACATAAGATTTAAATAAAATTAGTAAAAACTTTTGCATAACTTCTGCAGTAACACTGAAGGGAACAAATGGATGTAATGTGCATAATTATTTTCCTGTGATTGCAGTGAGAAACTTGTTGGTCTTTTATTTGCATTTGACATATGATTGTCTTCTCTAATGTTTTCCTGTGCCATTCCTCTGGTGTTCTACATTGGACAAATCTGCATCTTCAGGTAAGTGCTGTTTACAGCAGTGCAATTAAGATATTGCAGAGGGCAAGCAGGAACATCTCCCGGTATCCTGGTAGGTTTGGTTGTGCCAGTACTGTAGGTTATAAAGCACGTGAGACTGCTTGGAGCAGTGACTGCAGTGTCCTTGTCTAGGCAGCCATTCAAAATGTTGGGATGGTGCCTGTTTGTTCTTTGTGTTATAAAAGTTGGTTCTAACAAAATTTAGCTTGTTCGAGATGTATTTTGTATGTCCACACTGATGAATGAGGCAAGACTGAAGAGCAGAAAAACCTCTCAAAAAGGAAAATTCAAGTCTGGGTGCAATAAAGTAATGTTTTGTACTCCTATGCTTGTTAACAAGCCTTGCTTGACTTCCAGATCCAATTTGGTCTTGTAGTCCTTGTTTACAGAAAAACTTTCAGAGATAGCAGTAAGATTTTTGATGCTTTTGAAAATCAGGAGCATAAATAAAAGTTGTCTAAGTTAGAGTAGCCAGCTATGAGCAATCTAAGAGCCTGTACTGTGTCATAATATTCTGAAGTATTATTCTAAAGCTCAGGAAGAGCTATGGATGTCATCTGTGTGGACTTCTGTAAGGGCTTTGGCACAGTCCCTCCATGATATCCTTTTCTCTAAATTGGAGAGATATGGGTTTGATGGGTGGACTGTTGTGTTGGGTGAGGAATTGGTTGGATGAATGCATCCAGAGGGAAGTGATCAATGAGTCAATGTCCAGATCAATGGAGGTCAGTGATGAGAGGTGTCTGTGCTGGAACCAGTGCTGTTTAATATCTTCATCAATGACATAGACAGTGGGATCAAGTGCACCCTCAGCAAGTTTGCAGACTACACCGAGCTGAGTGGTGCAGTTGAACTGCCTGAGGATGGGATGCCATTTGGAGGGACCTGGACAAGATCCTCAGCACAGGAAAGACATGGAGTAGGTCCAGAGGAAGGCCACAAGGACTGGAACATGTCTCCTCTGAGGAAAGGCTGAGAGAGCTGGGGTTGTTCAGCCTGGAGCAGAGAAGTTTCTTGGGAAACCTTTTTACAGCTTTCAGTACTTACAGGGTGCTTATAAGAACAATAGGGACAGACTTTTCACTAGGGCCTATAGCAACATGATGAGGGAAATTTTGAACAGTGAGGGTGGGGAAACGCTGGCACAGGTTGCCTAGAGAGGTGGTGGATGCCCCTTCCCTGTAAACACTCAAGGCCAGGTTGGGTAGGGCTCTGAGCAACCTGGTCTGGTTGAAGATGTTCCTGCTCATTTCAGGAGGCTTGGACTAGCTGAGCTTTAAAAGTCCCTTCCAACTCAGACTATTCTACCATTCAATGATTATGAATTCTGAATGTCTCTCATTTCACTACATCAAAATGCATCTTTAGAGAGAGTTGTTTTTAAACCCCCTTGTGTTCTGCCTCTTCACTCAGCTGCTCTGTTACTGTCTGTCCTAAACTGACTCTCTGTGCACTGTGAATTATATAATTGTTCCTCTTCACTGAATATCAAACATAAGAAACCCTATTCTACTATTTTGTTTAAAAATCTGCCAGGTTCTCATCAAGGACATCACCAGTGAAACTGTCAGAAGACCATGGTGTGTGAAGACCTGTATGAGCTGCATCTTTTACATCTATTCTGCTGTTATAACAAAATCTTTTTATTTCCTGACATTACCAGAGATACCATTTCCACAGGTGGGAACTTAACACTGTCCAATAACAAGTTCTCAGTTTATATATTATTTGCTCTGATGAAATATTTAGGCACTAGTGACCCACCTCTTTCATGTAACCTCCAGGGCTGAAAGAATTTAGGCTTGATTACTTCATTTGTGCTGCTATGTTTGTGCTGGGCTGAGCTCTTGTGCTTTCTGTAGCAGATGTGCAGAGTAATTAACAATTTGAAAAATAAGTTGAGAAATTTGGATGTTCATTTGGCTTGAGCTCACCTCCCAGGCTTGTGAATACTGGAGATTACACAGAGAAGGTGATGGGATTAAGTGGCTGGGCTCAAGGCAAAAGGCCTTGATGGGGTCTTGCTTGTGGACATTGTGTCTTTGTGAAAGGAAATATATGGTGTTTGTCTGGGCAAAGAAAGATGCTGGGAAGTAATATGTGAAACTGCCCAGCATACTGAATATCAATGCTTCTTTGTGTCACTCAGTTTTGGGACAGGCAGGATGCCAACCATGCTTGGATTTTGAGGGATATGCAAGAGCTCTGAATCTGGATAGACAGACTTAATTTTGAGAGAGTGAGAGTTGCTTATTGAGGATAAAATGGATATTGCAGAAGGGCTGAAAACTTCACCGAAACTTTCAACTTATTAAAGTCTAAGACAATAATTTCATTCTTTGAATCAATATATATATCTTCCAGAAAATTCTTCCTTTATGATGTATGGGTGTGATGTTAAAGTCAAAGCACACATGCTGTCTGCAGGCCATACAGAGGGAAGAGATGACAGACTCACCAAACCGCTTGTTTTATTAAATGTGTGGTGCCTGAAGGGAAGGGGCCCACATTATGATTATTTTAATTTTTATGGATCAGTAAGTGTGTTTCCCTGTTGCACAACAAGCACTTCAAAACCAGTCAGTCTTCCTGCACTGCAGGCTTCATATTCCCCATTGCTTAACACACCCAGCACTGCTGGCAGTTACCACCCTGGAAAAAGCCACTTTTCGCATACTTTGTCAGATTGCTGCTCATACATGGATTAAAGCACACATAATCCCTTAAACACCCAAAGAACTTTCTTGTAAAACTTTTAAAAACTATCCCTGGCACACAAATGCAAACTGTGACATTAAGACAGAGAGTTGTTTTCAAAGTTATAAATATCTTAGTTCTTATGGCTGTCACGGAATCTGTGGCATAATCCTAGGAGGAGTAATGTGCTTGTCATGCCAGACAGTACAATTAATGTTTTGTTTACCCCTTCCCCATTCTGATTCTCAGTTTGTATCAATGCCAGCCCCAGTTGTGATGGAGGCTTTATGACATTTCTCTGACATGAAGTTGAGACCACTATCTCTCATCTGTCTTTCAGAACACTTTCTGCAGCTCTGGCTTACCTGTTTTTACTTATTGTGTCTGACTGCTGTCGAAATCCTTTTTATGTTGCAGCATATACTCTAAACCACAAATTGTACAGATCTGGATCATGAATTTATTCGTTCCTTTCTTCATCTAGCCCATGAAAGTCACCATGTGACTGAGCAGCTCTGGGAAGTGACTGGACACTTTCAAATGGTACCTTCCTGTTGAATAGGATGATTTTTACCAGCCACCTTTCACACTGTAAATATGTAACTGTGTACAGTTTGATGAATATCTCCACAAGTCAAAATAAAGAGACAAAATGAGGAGAAGTAAAATAACTTGGCTATTCTAGTAATGAGAGTGGTAGTTCTTTCAAGAGGTGCAGAGATACGATTTTGTTTTCAAGTTGAACTGCTGTTGGCTGCAAGTCATTACTGCTTGTGGTATGCCTTTGTATGGATGCTATACCTTTAACAGTCCTTCTTCTGCTGAAAGTGCCTGTGATCTCAAAATTTAGGGTCCAAATGAAAATACAGATGTGCAGTAGGTTAAAGTGTATCTGCTCTGCTCTTAAGGAACCATTTCTGCCATGGGGTAATTTTTTTTTCTTCCCCCCCCCTTCTTTCTTTTTCTTCCTTTTCTTTATTTTTTTTTTTTTTTTTTGGTAATTTTTTTAAATATTAGCCAACTAACCTGAACTTATCCTTCTACACACGTGCTGGACTGTAGTTGGCACCCTGTAAGGTGAAGCTGAAGTACCAGTGGATATATTTTTTGCTTGGTATTTATCTGAACTTTGCAAACAGGCATTAGTGTTTAACACCCTATTATTCCCCAGCTTCTGGATGCTGACCCATATCCTTTTCTCCCTCTCTGGATCATTATCTGTAACAGCTTGGCATGAATGAGGCTTCATGAAACTCATTACAATCCCTTTTCCCTGTTGGAATTTCTCCTGGGCATGATGGAAATAAATTAATAGAGTTGTATGGCAGAATCTTGCACTACAGTGTTGATACTGTTATTGTCTGGATAAATAGGATGCTTGAGCTGCCTGCTAATAATCTGGCAGCTGCCTGGTAATAACCTTTTGTAAAATTAAAACACTTTAGAAATTCTCTGCTCTAGTAGCAGACTAGTCTGTAATAGATGGGAAGTTTTAAAAATGATGATGATCCGTTGTTGTTCATGAATAGAAATTAACATAATATTCAGAGAGAAATTATTTTGATTAGATACTGGGATAAGAGATTTACATACATTAGGAACCTGGGAACATTTCTGAAGGCGAGGAATAGGAAGGAAGAGTTGAAACCCTGGTTAGAAAAAAGTCAGGCTGATGGCCCTGAAAGCATAAAAAAGTGCTATAAAATGTGAGGAAGCTGATTGATGTAGAGGAGCACAGATGTCAGATGGCTGTGATCCCCCAAAATGCCCATGGCTAATGTTCAGTGCATGTCAGAAAAGGCTGCAAAGAAAGCAGCACAAGTGCAATGAGTAGGGAGAGGAAATCAGGCTCCTTCCTATGTCAGTTGACAACGTGTCCAATACAGTTGGCAGCAGACCAAAGGCAAAACTTGCCAGTGCTAGAAGCCTGGAAAATGAGATGGGAGAACTGGGATGCTTGGTTTCGTATGATGAGCCTGACAGAGAGGCAACTCAGAGACTTTGCAGAAAGAGAGGAATCACTGGATGTGGTGTTCCCAGCCTATCAACTTCACAAAAATTGACAGAATAGAATGTGCATGCAGAGAGCATTGTTTCTGGAGTCTAAAATGAACTGTAACAAAATGAAACTATTGTTGAAAAAGAAAAAAACAGTATGAAATCCCTGTGGTTGGAAGTACTACACTGTAATAATAAAATTAAATGTTAGCATTGTATAATTATCCCCACCCTCAGTCAGGATATAGAAAAAGGAAAGAGTTTAGAGAACCTGCAAATTCAG